ATGTTCGAGGAAGCCGCGCGGACCTCCGAGTTGTTGTTCGGTATGTGTCCTTGCTTTTGCTCCCCTTGGCGAGGGTCAAGCTCGACAAGCATCGGCGGCGAGCGAGAGGGGGGGAAGTAAGAGGGAGAAGGAAGGCCTACTCAGAAGGCGGCGGGGCTTCTCAGAAGACCCCTCGCGCCTTCTGAGAAGTTTGTGCTGCGTCTCCGGGGAAGGCTCAGAAAACCTCTCAGAGGGCCGGTGGACTTTCGAGCCTTCTGAGAAGGGAAGGCCCGTCCCGTCTCACTTCCCACCCAGGCTCGCCACCGAAAAACATATCGAGCCCAGGACAGCTGGTAGAGCTCAACATTGCAACCCAGGCCCACCCCTTCTCACCTCCCCCCGCGCTAGCCACCAAAAGCGGGCACCAGGAAGGTGCCTGCCCGGGCGCGCTGACCCTTTTGAGGCGCTGAGCACGTCCCTGCGGGGCGTGGCCCTCCTCCTCCTCCTCCTACCTCCTCCGCCTCCCCTTTTCTCCTTCCTCATCCTCCTCCTCTTCCATCCCTCTCCTCCGCCTCCTGTCCTCCTCTCCTCCTATCCTCCTCCTAAGTCACCTATCCTCCTCCTCCTAGGCCTCCTAAACTCCTCCTCTTTCTCTCTCCCCCTACCTCTCCTCCTTCTCCCTTCCTCTCTCCCCCTCCTCCTACCTTCCTCCCTCCTTCTCTCTCCTTCTACTCCTCTCTCTCCTTCTCTCCTTCTCCTGCCTCCTCCTTCCCTTCCTCTTCCTCCTCTCATCCTCCTCCTCCTCATCTTCTCCTCCCCCTCCTTTTCCTCCTTTTCCTTCTATCCCTCCTCCTCCTCCTTCTCCTCCTCCTCCTCCTTCTCCTCCTCCTTCTCCTCCTCCCCATCTCTCCCCGTCTCCTCCCCCCTCCAGACTGGGACGGCGGCGGTGGGGCTGTCCCGTCTTTGTCCCCTGGCTTCAGAGGAGGACAAAGGCACCCATACAATCGAGATCCATGCCGAGAAACACCCTGCTCGCCTCCAGGGTGCCCTTGGTTTCTTGGTCTTCGATGATTTTGCGATGGGAAGCGTGACGTTTCGGGGTCTTTGGGTCGAGTTTCTTGTGAAAGGTTTCTTGTGGTCGGGCCTCCACTGTCCTGCTACCCCATCGCCCGTTTCCCCCTTGACCTTCCTCATCGGAGGCCCTCGTTACCACTGCTAGATTCGCTTCGAAGTCCTAGTCAGAACGCACCCTGGGAGAGGCCTGCGGAGTGGCGGTATCGGCACCTTTCGGTCTCCCCAGGGTTGTCCCTTCGCGGCCGTGAGGAAGATGTCGTGCAGTTGCCGCGCGGTCGTCCCGTGGTTGGCCCGCGGACGCCAGCGAGGCGCCGCACTCGCACTCAGGGGCAAGTTTATAAAGTATAGAAGGACTCCTCCTCCTCCTCCTCCTCCTCCTTCTCGTCCTCGTCCGCCTCCTCCTCCTCCGCCTCCTCCTCCTCCTCCTCCTCCTCCTCCTCCTCCTCCTCCTCAGGTTGGCCGATTGTTGCCCTGTGATTCTCTTTGGGCTTTCCGGTGATCGTCTTGTGCATGGCGTTGTGCTGCGGACGTCCTGCGGTGATCCCGTGCGGTCGTCCCTCGGTTGTCCCGTAGTTGTTCAGAGGTTGCTTTGCGGACAGGTAGGTTGCCTTGCGGACAGATAGTGGCCGGACCTCAGGGTCCACCTCACGGACACGGTGAGAAAGCCGTTGGTGCGAGCTCAGCGTCGGCTGCAAGCGTCGGTTCCGAAAAAAAGGCTGTCAGCGTCAGTTTAATGCGATAAGCCACTCGAGACAAAAGCACCATCGGGCACAAGTTGGGAAACTGCTAGGGTGGCCAAGTCGTGAGAGTCCCCTGGGATTTATGGAGCGCCCAAGACGACCCGACATATCCGGGTCAACGGACTTCCAGTCCGGCGAGAGAGGTGCACCTCTTTCTTACCCGCAGGGTGCCCCGTGAGCATGAAGTCCTCAAAGCAGAGCGTCTGGAGACCCTTTCTGGGAGGGATAGTCTTATGTCGGGCGTGTCCCCCTACAGGGGGATTTTCGACGAAAAATGAAAATTATCCTCGCGAAGGACCCAACCATATGCAGTTGTGGGCACCGCAATTGTGAAAATCTTCTTCGGTGAAGCTCCCTATGGGGCCACGAAGCGCTGCACTGGGTGGGGGGGAAACGCTGTTCTGGGTGAGTGGTGTGCCAAGTAAGGTTTCCGGGACGCAAGCAGACGGTCCCACTGGGGGCTTCGGTGGAGCTCCCTATGAGGCCACGAAGCGCTGTACTAGGTAAGTGAACATGCCAAATTGGGCTTCCGGGACGCATGCGGACGGTCCCACTGGAGGCTTCGGTGGAACTCCCTATGGGGCCACGAAACGCTGAACTGGCTGGGTGAAAATGCCAAATTGGGCTTCCGGGACGCATGCGGACGGTCCCACTGGGGGCTTCGGTGGAGCTCACTAAGGGGCCACGAAACGCTGCATTGGGTGGGT